AACTGAGAGGAAAGTGAATTCAGTTATTGATGGGTAGAATATTCTATAGATGTTTGTTAGATCCATTTTATTAATAGCATTGTTTGGTTCTGAAGAATCTTGGTTTACATCTGGATGACCTATCTATTGGTAAGAGAGATGTTTTGAAATCAGCCAGAAATATTAAATTATGATCTATTTGATTCTTTACATTTAGTAGGGTTTTTTTTTAAATGTGAGTAGATGCATCGAGGCCATTTTGATTTATTTATGATGCTTTATCCAGACTTTATTCTCCTTTAATTAACTATTCTTCTAGTGAAGTTCAGCCATATGCTGGCTTTGATATTTTTACCTTTTATTTCTTCTGTATGAAATATTTCACTTTGTATACTTTGTAGTGCAGGTTTAGTGGTTATAACTGCTTTTAGTTTCTGTTTGTCTTGAAATTTTTTTACTTCTGCTTTGATTCTGAAGGGTGGTTTTTCTGGATATGGTAATCTTGATTGAAAATTGTTATCTTTTAATGCTTTATATATTTTATTCCAAACCCTCTTGCCTTTTAGGTTCTAGGTTGAAAAAAAATCAGTACAAATTATAATGGGCTTAACTCTAAAGGTGGCCTCTTCTTTTTCTCTTCTGGCTTTTAGAAGTCTATCCTTGTTCTGCAGAGCAGGCATTTCAGTTATAATGTGTCTTAGAGAGTGTCCTTTTTGATCTTGTTTATTTGGAGTTCTAATTTTCTGTTGCATTTGGTTTTCCACTCATTCCTGAGGTTTGAATTTTTTTTTAATTTCATTGAAAAGATTGTGCGTTTTTATCTTAATTTTCTTCCTTCATGGATGCTAATGATTCTTAGATTTGGTCTCTCAATGTTATCACAGATTTCTTGAATATTCTGATCTCAACATTTTTTCTCTATCATTGACTCTACTTTCAAAGTTACATATTTTGCCTTCAAGGTTTGAGAATCTGTCTTCAAAGTGGTCTAGTCTATTAGTGATTTTTTCAACTGAATTTTTAATTTTCAGGATTTGTGTTTGGTCCTTTTTCAGAATCTCTATTTCTTTGTTGAAATGTTCTTTCACTTTCTGTTATGGTCTATCTTAATTCCTTCCTTAGATGTTATTTATTTCATTAAACATTTTAATTATCAACTTTCTAAATTCTTTTTCTGGCGTTTCCTCTATTCTGAGGTGTCCGTGGGATCAGTTATGTCGTGAGGTACTTGGGATAGCTTGCTATCTTCATTTTTCATATTGTTAGTATTTATGCCCATCTTCTGGGATAATTCTTTCTTCTACTTTTATGGGAAGGATTTTTTAGTGAGTTGTTTTTTCTTTACTGCGTGTCCTGGGTTGGCTAAATGTCAGTATTTTCACTCATTTTGAACTTGCTACTATGTTCTGTCTCTAACATCACATTGAGATGAGATACTGATCCACAGTAATTATAGCCACTTCAGAGGAATGCCTTCTACTAATACATTTAAAAAAATACTAATAATGTTCTTCTGCAACCCACTAAACTATTGTTCTTGGTCAGTTTCTTTTTTTGGGGGGTACTAGGGATTGAACTCAGGGACACTCAACCATTGAGCCACATGCCCAGCCCTGTTTTATATTTTATTTAGAGACAGGGTCTCACTGAATTGCTTAGCACCTTGCTTTTGCTGAGGCTGGCTTAGAACTCATGATCCTCCTGCCTCAGCCTCTGGAGCCACTGGGATTATAGGCGTGCACCACCGAGCCTGGTCTTGGTCAGGTTTTTGAAGTAGGGTTTTTTCTTTGTGTTTATCATTTGTTTATTCTCATCTCTGATCCAAAGGAGTCAAACTTGTTAGGGGAGTCTCTATATAGAGTTTCACTGCAGGCTTTTACTTTCCCCCTTTGTAGGAGTCTCAGACCTTATTCCGATGGTTCAAATTCCAAACAGCAGAGCAAATGGGAAGTGCCTCTCCCCTCTACTTTGCCATCTTGCTACATCTTGAAGACATTATTCATTTCCTGGTTTTTATGATGCCCATGGTTTTCCCCGTGGATCTTCCAGCCCAAGCAGAGTAGAGAGACTCGGGCTTCCTGAGCCGAAGAAGGGCAGCCTAGACATGGATCCAAAGAACCTGACTTATTTTATTCCTAGTATTTTGTGGTATTCTCCTACTAAATATATTAGCCTTTTGTTAGGTAATAGTAAAAAGGTTTTGGAGTGCTTTTGACTGACTTTCACAGTGGTTTTTTTGTTATACAAAAGAAATGGGTTTAGGTAGTCTAGTTTCTCAATCTCTCTTGTGTGGATTTGGGATTTTGTAACATGTTTTAGCATTCTCCATTTTTAGATGATAAACAAAAGTCTCCTATTTTTTGCAAAACTGTTTTGGATTCATATTTATTTTTTATCTGTCCAGAAATATTTTTAAGTATGTACTAGGGTACATATGTATGTATGTACTTTTTTCCCAGATAGCTAAATAGTTGGTTTTTTTTTTTTAATTTATTTTTTATTTAGAGTCAGGGTCTCACAAAACTGCTTATGGCGTCACATTTAGTATAAATTGCTAAGGCTGGCCTTGGACTCATAATCCTCCTGCCTCAGCCTCCTGAGTTGTTGGGATCATAGTCATGTGCCACCACACCTGCCTTTACATATTTGTTCTTATACCATTTATTTCATAAAACATTCCCTCAGTGAAGTGATACCTTTATAATATACCATGATATTATGATATAAAAAGTATGTATTTGGTCTTTGTCCTTGGTTTCTAACCATAGAGCTTCTTTTTTTATTTTATTTTTAAAAACTTTGTGGTACTGAAAACTGAACCCAGGGCTTCATGTATGTTAGCCAAGCATTCCACTACTGAACTACACCTGCAGCCCTTCACAAGAGCTTCTGAAATACTAGGGATTACCTGAACGATGGGAACATTTTTTGTTAATTTACTCTTCTTTCTCTCTCTCTTTTCACTTTTCATTGATTCTTTTTAGTGATACATAACATTGGGATTCATTTTGACATAATTATAAAGGCACAGAATATAGTTTGCTCTAATTTAGTCCCAAGTATTTCCCCTTTCTCATCCCTCCTCCTTCCCACTGTTCCCGTCCTTCTACTCTAATGACCTTTCTGCTATTATTTTTAGTTTTTTGTCTGTCTTTTGCTTTTTTTTTTTAGTTAGTGTCTTGTGAATATGCGTGATGGTGAGATTCACTGTGGTATACATGCTCTTTGTCCTTGGTTACTGGCACAGACATCCTAAGAGCTCTGGAATTCCCTGAGGAATAATAATAAGATGGTCCTTGGCTGAGTGGGACTTAGGTGTGTTCAGAATGGGAGATGGCTACTAGGAAGATCAACCATGTAATTAGAAGGTTAGAACTTCAGCCCCACCCTGGCCACTGGGGAAGGAACAGGAGGTAGAAATGGAGTTAATCACCAATGGCTAATGAATTTAATCAATTATGTATCCATTTTCTTTGACCATCAACTTTAGAAAACTTCAATTGTCAATTTTTTCTCTGCCTCTTTGAGATAAATCTTCTCCCTGCCTCTTGCCACTTGTGCCACTCCTACCACCTAGGAATGTCTATCTCAAGGATTTGAGAGCCACCCATTTGAAATTTAAACCAGAAAGATATGGCCTCTATGGCAGTACTGTAAATTTCTTAGAATTACTTTAATTTGATCTAACCATTTTGCTTTATAATTCTAGAATTCTGCTTTTATCTTTTTTAGTTACTGCCTTCTGTTGTCTCTATCCTCATTATTTTGAAAAAAATTGCATATTTAATATCCTGAGATTTATTTCCTTTTTTTTTTTCTTTTAAGTATAGGCAGAGCTGGGTGCAGATGGCGTATACCTGTAATCCCAGCAATTTAGGAGTCTGAAGCAGGAGGATTGTGAGTTTGCAGTTGGCCTCAGCCACTTAGTCAGACCCTGTCTCAAAATAAAAAATCAGGATGGTTGGTGATACAGCTCAGCGATAGAGTGCCCCTGGTTTTATCCTCAGTGCCAAAAATAAAAGTTATAAACACATCTAGACTTTTCCTGGTTTTGTTATGAATTACCAGTTTTGTTACAATCAGAGAATATTTATAATATATCTACTTTTGGGAATATTTTTAAATCTCTTTTGTGAAACAGCAGATCATCAGTTTCTGTTCTGAATGTTTAGATAGTAGGCTGAAGTCCATTTTAAAAATAATGTCTTCAAGAAAGAGTTGCTAGAAACATACACTAATTTCGTAGATGATTTAAAATGTCAAGTCTGATGCTTGAATAATAGTTTTGTTTGGTAAACAACTAAAGTAATTATTTTTTCTTTCCTTAAATAATAGACAAACTAATTATGAAGTTTCTCTTTCTCTTAAGCCAGGGGAACTCCCCATCCGTGTGGCCATCTGTATGGAGCTATTAGTCTGAGGTCCAGAAAATAGCTTCTCTGAGCACATACCTGGTACCTCTATGCTAATAGGCCATGTTTCTTGTTTTGCATCTCTCTGCAAAGATGAATGGTGCAAGATATAGACTAATGGATCTTAAGAATATCAGTATCAAGCTTAACCCCAAGACCACTGCTGTAGGCTGAGTGTTGCAAATATCAAAACATTTAAAAATTAAGAATGGCCATGTAGAATCTAAAATGGAAGAATAGCAAAGTAAAACTAGATCCGTTAACAATTAAAATATATCTTAGAATAATTAAAAATAGTATGGTATAGGTGTGTGCATGGACAAAGAGACAATAGAACACCATAGAAAATTCATCCAGTGATGGATTCATGAAGGAAGCTCTCTTGGAAATGGCATTTCAAGTCTGGGTGTGTGTGTGGAGGGGGGATGGCAGATGAATTATTCCAACTAATAGTGTTGGAATAAGGAAGTAATCATTTGGATGAAATACAGTTAGTTCATTCTTCTATATCTTATGTCTTACTAGCTAATTATACACAGATAAGTATGTCAAAGCTTTAGGAGAAAAAGCTTCTATTCTGAAATGAATGTTCTTTTTTCTGGTTTTCAGGAGAAAGTTCTGCCATTAATGCACCCAGGTGAGAACTTCCCAGTCAAAATTGGAACTCTGCAGTGCTCCCTCGATCACAATTTGGAATACCTATGAGTTCTCTGTTTGTAATAAAGACTGAGGCTATTGGATCACGTGGTGTCTTCCTTTTAATACTCTTGTCTCTTAATACTTCATTATATTTATGCTATCAGAGCTCTGTCTTAGGGTGATCCACATGACTCCAGGTGTTAAGTTATTTAGGATTAAATATATTTTAACTAATGTACTAACTTAGATATTAATGATTATCGAGTACCTATATGTATGAGTAAGTTATCATTAGATATTTAGAGGGGTAAAAATATTATTATTAACTATGATTATGATTATTATCATTTGGCAGTACTGGGGATTGAATCCAGAGCCTCGAGTAACAGACAAACTAATTATAAAGTTTCTATTCCTTTGAAGCCAGAGGAGCTCCTATACCCATCCATGTGCCATCTATATGGAGTTATTAGTCAGAAGTCCAGAAGATAGCTCCTCTAATCCATGCCTGACAGGCAGGTGCTCCACCATTGAGCTATATCCCTAGCCCCTAGAGGGGTGAAAATATGCATAGACTAGAGTCCTATGTCCTCAAAAGAGATAATATCTTATAGGAGATGTAAGATATGCACAGAGAACAAGGAAGACAGAGATAAAGTAATGAGAAAGATGCTGGTTAAGTTCTGTGAGAGTTTATAAGAGAAAAAAAAATAGATCTAGGGAGAAAAAAAATATGAGGAAGAGAAAGTTGTTGCCAAGTCAGAGCCAACAGTCTGTGTAATGGGCCATTTGGTCACCTGACGGGGGTGTCCTGCACCTGGCTTCTACTCACGCTCTCCCCAGCCTCTTCCCTCTCTATTTTCTCTCTCCCCAGGGACTACCATGTAGATAGTTCACTTTCTCGCAGAGGTGCTGCCAGCCTGAATCCTCAAGGGTTCACCCACCCCAGACCACTCCCGGACTCGGAGGATCTGCAGCCGGAGTATGTCAATGGTGAGTCCCCACCGGGAGGGGATCTAGTGCTGGGACAGGGAGGGAAGCAGAAGAGACAACCAGGCGGTCTTGCCTCCCCAACCTCAGGAGGCCCAGTCACTCCAAGAAATCAATGAGTCCCTCAGAGCCACGTTGGGGGTATGGTCATGGAGCAGGAGACTGGGAAGGTGTGACTAATGCTTGAACTTAAAGGTGAACATCAGAGAACGCTTGTCTTCTTCCTGTAGTGAGTCCCGGAGGAGATGAGGATGTGGTTTATTCCCAGATCTATAGCAGCCAGCAGCCAGAAGGCTCAGGTAAGAAAATTCAGAGTGATTCCTGTCAGGTGGATCTTCCTTGGAAATGTGCGTTTTGTGCACAACAGGCTGCAAGATATCACTTACCCTTGGAATGAACCAAGAAGGATCAAGAGGTACCTGGAGGCAGGCTCTTGTGAATAAACTGAACTAAAGAAAAAAAAAAGCAGAAGATCCAATAATTTTTCATTTGAATAGGACTAGACAGTTAAGGAGTATCCAGGATATAACAAAGAGAGAAGAAAAAACAGAAAAGAGTTAGAATTTCTAAAGCTATCATATCCAAAGTCCAGGAAGAATTCCCTCGGTTGGAATGGGTCATTGCAAAGCCTTTTTTTTTTTTAGTTTATGTTTTTAATCGGTGTATTATAATCACACATAATAGTGGGATTGAAAATGCCATATCTGTACATGCACATAGCATAATTTGGTTAATCTCATGCCTCATTATTTTCCCTTCCCCTCCCCTCCTTCTTCCCCATCTGTTGATCTGCTCTATTCATCTCCTATTTTTAATATTATCATCATTATTATTGACCATTATTTTAAGTGATGTATTTAATCACATACAAAGGTGGGATTTCTTGTGGTCAATTCATGCCGTAGACACAACATGATTTGGTAGATTTTGTCCCTCAGTACCTCCCAGGCTGGTAAATGGGTGGAGATGGAGAACATCATGCAAAGTGAAATAAGCCGTGCCTCTCTTTAAGTGCCTGAAGACTTGGGATGACTCCACGAATCACCTGATCTAGACAATTGTCACTCGGACACATAGCTTTGCAGGAACCAAGATGACAGTTCTGTGGCAGTGCAGAGTTCTGCCCTTCCAACTGTTGCCCTGAACCCTGCCCTTTCTTCTGTGCTCTTAGCTGCCTCTGACAGAGCCAGTGGCTGTTGGTAGCTTGGTCAATTTCCTGACCTGTGGTCACTCAACCTTTGTCCCCTGAACCTGTGAAGCTAGGTCCTCTGTTAGTGTGGATTCAAGTGGTGCCTCTGTTGTTTCCTTCTGGGACCAGCCCAGCAGAATGGAGAAAGTACAGTAGTGTCTACTGGGTGTTCATCTTCCAAGCTCTTGAGGTGTCCATCTGCAGTTAAGGAGAAGGAGGAGATTCAGTCCTACTATACACTTTGAAAGAAGGGGGAAACAGGCAGACAGCAGTGAGCAGACCCTGCAGCCAGACTCCAACTGCTGGGTGACTGGGATCTGTCATCTTTAAATGTGCATTAAGTATCCTTCTCTATGGTAAGGTGAACCATCCGTGGTGGATTATCTAAAAAACATAGAGGAATGACAGGAAAATGAGCCCTGAAAGGATATTGTAATGGTCAGAGAAGCCAAAAAAAATAAATAAATAAATAAAATAAAATAAATCATGAGGACAATAGCTCACAGGAAGTTGCATCAGAGAGAGGGAGAGCTTTGTTAGTAAGTGTTGGTGGGGGACGTGGGGCTTGCAGTCTTATGGGAGCTCAGAGTGAGCAAACTTAATGGATGGATTTTACGGAACAGGAAGGGTTGGACTTCCATCCATGAAACGTAGCATTTCTCTGCCCTGCTGCACACAGTCTGGGCCAAGGATATAAGCAGAGACCCAAGTATTCAGTATTTTTTTTTTTTTTTTGCCTCCACAGCAAACATCAGGACGTCTCTGGAGAACAAGGTGAGCTAGAGCCTTTGGCAATCCCTGCGTCTCGACTTTCTTCACCTTATTCCTTCTCTCATGCTGGTGTGTCCCACTGTTTTGTGTCTCTCCCAGGATTTCCGAGTCATCTACACCTCTGTGAAGAAGTCATAAAACTTGGCAGAATCAAGAGCAGATGGGCTGCAAAGATAGCGCCTCACTATGGATTTTATTAGCCCCTATGCAAATGCTCAAGGCTGACCCCCTGCCACAGCAAGAATGTGCCCCAGGGACTCTAGGCAAGCCACCTCGGGTCATGATTTTTATTCCCATCAACTTCCTTCCCCAACATTTTCTTTTATTCATTAAATATTTCTTGAACTGCTACTACATCCCAGGTACTGTGAAGTGAATGATCTCTAGATCTTCTCTTAAATTATCAACGTGAAAAGACTTGAACACAGAGACAAGGCCTCGCCTTCCCCTCCTCTGAAGTGAGAACAATAGAACCCGTCTAGGGGCTTCTTTTTTTCCTTCCCAAACTAGGACTCGGTTACCTTTTGCCTCCCCCAGAGACCTCACTTATAAACGGAATTCTCTTTTGCTTTTGTGAGAACTTGACAGGGGACTCTGTGGGAGGAAACGGCAGCCTGGGGTACTTGCCACAGTGTCCAGGTTCTTGAAGGTTCAGTTTTACATCAGTTTAAACAAACTAACAAGGGGGTTTACCATGTTTTGAAGTGTTCAGTGTTGTGCATTGATTCCCACAGTGTAGGCAGTAGGAGCACAGCCTTTGGAGTCCTGCGGTGTGGCCCCAATCCCCCATTCCCTTCCAGTCGGGTGTTCTTGAACAAACTACTGAACCTTCTTGGGCCTCGGCTTCCTCGATTTTAGATGAGTATAACCCACGGGGTTACCGTGAGGATTATGCAAACATTCATTCATTGCTTGACACCGTTTCTGCCCTATAGGTCACACTACAGAAGTTCTTCGTGTTCGTGTCAGACATACAAAATGATCACTCTGCCTTCAAGCTCAGTCCTAAAGCTTCCAGCTTAATTAAGAAATCAAAGTAATGAGGATCTCAAATCTAATGACTGTCAGAGGCAACTAGCAAATTTTCACTACTATGCTTTTTTAAGTGAATGTTTTATATGATTTCATGCCCTTATTTCTGTCATTGTAAAGTAAGCTGCTTGGTGAGAAGAAATTTTCTGTGTTCTTGCTCAGACGGTCCATCCACGGTGTAGTTGGCAGGAGTAGAACAGTGAGCCCAGATGACAATCTGTTCCAGGGAGAACAAGTTACTTCTTTTTATATAATTCCTTCTCCTGGTAAATGCGGTTCACCATTTGGAAGGATGTAGGTGGCTGTGGGCTTGGAGTTGGTATTTAAACAACTGAAAATAATTCAGAATGTATGAAGTACATAAAGTTCATTAGAAAAAAATAATCAAGAATGGTTATTGACTGTTATTATTTAATTTTTTATTGAAATGATTATAGATTATCCAGAAATTGCAACACAGTGATCCAAGAGACCTGTGTACCCTCAACCCAGCACCTCTATCAGGTAACACCTTGAGTAATATAATATCAGGAAATCAATATTGGTGCCATCCACAAAATGTCTTCAGATTTCACACATTCCACAAACACTCACTGTGCGTGTGTGCGTGTGTGTGGGGGGGGGTGTGTTTCAATACAGTTTTATCCACAGTGTAGCTTTGTATAACAATCTCCATGATGATCAGGATTTAGAGGATTGCTTTCACAGAGAACTCTCTGTGGCCACATGGACTTGTCTCCACTCCCAGTCTTTAACATGAACCACTAACCTGTTCTTCATGATTAGAACTATGGTATTTCAAGGAGGTTATTTAAATGGAATCATAAAATATACAGGTTTTCAGATTGATTTTTTTTTTCACTCAGCACATGCCTTGAGAGCCATCTTCATGTCTATCAATAATTTGATTGTTCCTATTGCTGAGTAGTATTTCATGGCACAGATCAGTCATTCATCTACTGGAGGACATTAAGGTTGGTTCCAGGTTTTGACTATTACCAATCAAACCTCTATGATCATTTATCAACAGGTTCTTATTGACACAAGTTTTCATTTCTCGGGGATAAATGCTTAAGAGTGATTACTACGTCTTAATGGCATGTGCATGTTTAATTTGAAAAGAAAATACCAGAATGGCTACGCTTTTTCATTTCCCAGCAATGAATGAGTGATCTGTTCTTTCTGTATCCTTGCCAGCATCTGGTCTCATTGCTATTTTTCATTACAGCCATTCTGGTAGCTGTACAGTGATATCCCGTTGTTGTTTTAATTTGCATTTCTCTTAGGACTAATGTTGACCTTTATATATTTTTATTATCTGTTTTTCACAGGTAGATCCTCATTGAGAAAATATTATTCAGGTTTTTGTCCATTTCCTAATTGAATTGTTTGCTTTTGCTGTTGGATTTTGAAAGCTTTTTATAAGCTCTATTGGATATTGGATGCAAATACTTTCTCCCAAGTCTATACCTCGTCTTTCCATTTTCATAATAGGTCTTTTACAGACCAAGAAAACTATTTTTAATTTTAAAGGGGTCATATTTGTCGGGAGGCAGAGGCAGGAGGATCATGAGTTCAAAGCCAGCCTCAACAAGTTAGCAAGGTGCTAAGCAACTCAGTGAGACCCTGTCTCTAAGAAAATAAAAAATAAGGCTGGGGATGTGGCTCAGTGATAAAGAGCTCCTGAGTTCAATTCCTGGTCCCCCTCCCTCCAAAAAAGAGGTCAATTTTTTTTTAATGATTCTTTTCTTTCCTTGTGTTTTATATCAAGTCTAAGACCTCTTTACCTACTCTTAACCCACATAGGTTTTCTCATGTTTTTTCCCCAAATTTTTTATATTTTTACATACTACCTTTAAGTATGTGACCCATTTTTATATTAGATATGAAGCTTAGGTTGAGGTGTATTTTCTTCACCTCTGGATGTCTCATTGCTTGAGTATCATTCATTGAAAGGTTATCCTTCCACCTTTCACTACTTTGTCAAAAATCACTTGGGCAAATATGTTTATTTCTGGATTCTACATTCTTTTCTACAGACTTGTATTTTTTTTTTTTGGTGCTGGGGATTGAACCCAGGGCCTTGTGCATGCAAGGCAAGCACTCTACCAACTGAGCTATATGCCCAGCCCAAAATTCTATCTTTATTACTGTAGCTACCTAGTACTTTTAGTTTTCGGTGCTGGGGATCAAACTAACATGCTAGGCAAGCGCTTTACTACTGTGCTACATACTCAGTCTTGTAATTCTCTTTAATATCCAGAAGAGCAGTTCTTCCAATTCTCTCTTCCAATTTCATTATCAATTATTTTTAACAAATGCTAATGAGAAGAGTAGCAGCTGTAATAAAATAACATGTTTTCATCTCTAACATGTGCAGTTAGCATGATAATGGCAGGAATATGTAGACCAAATATCATGACAGAATTATAGCAAAGAATATAGTCAAGAAGGAAAAAAAAGGGGGGCATCTGTATAGGTTTAAAAAAATGGCAAAGAAAATATCAAGAGGAGAGAGGTCTCCACTTCCAGATTATTATTCTCATTATTATTTTTGTCCTTGGGTTGAATTTTCTTTCTTTTCATATCACAATTAAAATGACTGAAGAAACCCAAAATTAGGGGAAATATGTGTATTGGCACATGCCACGCATAAAATAGAAATTACTTCAAAATATTATGCAGGTGAAAGGAAACAAATAATAGAAATACCTACAAGTATGGCTGTCAGAAGCGGCAAATGGATTATGGGTCTTGGAACTGCCCAGAGACAGAAGCCCCTCTGGAGAACTCTCAGCCCCAAGGGGCCAGCGGAGATTGCCCAGTTGCCAAGGGGAATTCCTTGCTAGCTAAGGAATTTTATCAGTTCATAACTGTAGATTCCAACACCTGCTGCCCAGTAGAGAGTCATGGGCACACGCTGATAAGCCCAAAGTGGGCTGTTTTAGCCCCAACTTCAGTTTTGTTCATCTTGAAGATCCTTTCTCACAGTAAATCCTTTTGATGTCTAGACTATATAGTAATTGTGTGGCGCTTGCTTGTGGTCAGTCTTCCTCCACCAGAAGTCTGCTGAACCACCAAGCCCCCACTTTCTCTCTACTCTTGTGTCTGTTCATCTTTTCTTATTCCCTTCATTGCCTGGTATGGGAAACAGTAAATGGCTGTGCAGGACGTTAAATGAGAATGAAATGAGGAACATCTCTGGTATTGAAGCCTGAGCATCGGGGACTGAAGGTGAGCACGTTTCATGGGGGCTACCACAAGGTGGGTTACTAGAAACTCTATAGTTAACCCTGGGGAATTAGCAGGTGTCAGGATATAAATTTAAGGTGAAAAATACTAAATGTAAACTTTAAAAAAAGACACAAGAGGGGCTGGGGTTGTGGCTCACTGGTAGAGCACTCATTTAGAATGTGTGAAGCACTGGGTTCGATCCTCTGCACCACATAAAAATAAATAAATAAAGTAAAAGTATTGTGTCCAACTACAACTAAAAATAAATAAATAAATAATTTTTAAAAAATAGAGACAAGAGGCCTGAAATCAATTGACCTAGACAACCACCCCAATCTATTCTTCCTAGACAATCAGGCATGAATCAATGGTTCAGAAAATCTGAAAAGAACTTCCAAGCCGGACTTGGTACCACCTTAGTAGTGATGAACTATTATTCACTATTATTTATGTCCAACCCTTCCTGAGGAAGAGTACAACTCCCATTATTAATAGCTGCTTTGAGGGGGAACATATTAAAGTGTGCATGGGAACGTGGGTAACTTGCTGAATCTCTCTTTAGGGGTGCTTGCCCCAAATTCATCCTTCTCCCTTAAGAATCACTTATCTACCTATTTTTGGGTTTCCAGAAACTAGAGGAAATTGTAGACTTTCACAAATCCCAGGTCTGACCCAGTGACCTCTCTGATCTCAGGTGGAGACTCTCTGATGATGTCATTTGACCAATCAACTCTCCTCTAATTGCTTAACAGCCACACATATAACCTGCTTATGCTGAAATCTCAGAGGACTATCACTTGGACCCTTTGGAGCTGAGAAGAGCTACAAGAACCTATGTGGAGTGTGTGTGTGTGTGTGTGTATGTGTGTGTGTATTCACTATAGAAAAACTAGAAATAAGAATAAGTCAGAGAGAAATAAAAATCACGAATTTTCATCACTAAGATGATTGCTACTTTCTATGCATGTGCTCACACATACATAAATATATGCTATTTAAAATATAACATTTTCTATTTTAATATTCTTGTTATGTTTTCATACCATTCAATATTGTAGTAAGATATTTGTGTGATATGTTTGGATATATC